AAGGAGTAACGTCTGTAAATCAAAGTAGTTAAAATTTAAATAATCACGTTACTAACTATGCAGATTCAGTACAACTTTTACAAATGCGTTTAATTACCTGTTAAGTTTGTAAAAAACAATGAATCAATGGAAAACATTTGGTGTATTAGATTATTTCAAATATTAAAAAGGAGATTCGGAGTTAACAACATTATGATCACTGATGATAAATATTTTTCCATCCCAAATCTCAGTTGGTTAGTAAGAATGGTTTTTAGAAAGTTTGACAACACTGTAAAGTGTGAAAACAATAAATTTGAACAGGATAAACTATAATTTCATTTGTTTCAGTTAGATGATCGCTAGTTCATTACAATCTAGATTATTTTAATGTGAAAAGTCATAGATCTATTCTACAATAAAACTATTTTGTAAAGGTTAGAATAATGGCACTGTTGGTTTTGAGGACTGAAATTGATATGTCGTTTTTACTATATGTACATCTTCAGTGAATTACCTTGGCATTGTCATTAGGAACGTTTGATGGTGGCAAGCATTGAGGTTCAAGACTCGCGCTTTTCCCTTTCCAAACTTGTCAGTTGGCTTTGCTTACATCTATGCTGATGTTCACACCATAACTCAAACCCAGTGCCAATATCTAATCACGCTTAAAAATAATAGTTTGGAACAAGTTACGTAAATGAAGTTGATTAAGCGGTAACACAAACTCTATTCTAATAGTGTAGCCAAGACCATTAGACTCCAAGTACAGTAAAACAGGATTGGATTGATACAACTAGTTTTCGGGGCTAAGAGAAGCTTTTCGAAGATTTAAGAGGATTTTAACCTTCTTCAAATATCACTCGTTCGTGTTATCATTTCCCAGCCAGGTTATCTGAACTCGGTTTTATCCCAGCTCTCATTAATCTGTGCTCATTTTCCACTTTATGAGACAACTAATTACAAACACTATGGTGAAATATGATGTTCCTTATGTCTTCAAGATAATAAAGACAACTATGTATATGATGCAGAAGTTAGAAAACAAAACGTCCCATTAAAATGCATCGTAAATTTTCCTAGTAAATTCAAAGATCTTTGAGTATGTTGGACAACTCTGTTGAGAAATTTGTTGAAATACTTCTGATATTAGTACATGTTATTAATGAATTATCATGTTCATAGTACATGTGTTCAACTGAAAACCGTGGATAAAGTTCAGATTAATCTATGCGTATTCATCATGGGTGATACAATTTTGAATAAAAATATAGGCCAGGAGTTTTACTCCCTATCCATCAAAAATGTCGATATTTATTTCGAAGTACGATATCGAAAATACCTAATATGTAACCTCTCAAGTATATAAACAGCTGATGTCCGTTATCATACTACTTGTAACTTGTCAGTAGTTAACAATTTTCGGTTAAAATCTCACGCACCACACGATAACAAACCTGACGAAACCGGTCACAGAACTTGGGTATCAGACTGTAGGAATCTGTTAATAAATCTTTTCAGTAGACAAAATAATTAGGTTAATATTAGTGGATATAAACCCATAGTTCTTAGTGGATAAAGTGACCGAATGTCTTGATGGTTTGGTCGACCAAACCATCCAGCGCAGAGAACAAAACTCCACCAAAATCATCCACATGAGCTACAAATCTTCTCCACCATCTCTTAAACAACTCATCATTATCATTTTCGCTCACAAATCACAAATAGAAAATGTAGATGCATATTTACTAATCATTATGAAATGTTCATCGACGAATGTTGAAATACAAGATGACAGTTACTCGAAAACTTGAAAATATGTTGTTAGATGAGACATCAATCACAAAAATATTGTTATTTTTAATAGATTTAGTAGTTATGATCTATGGTCATTTTGACTGAAAGTTGCAATATTCTCCCGTTGGATCACCTGTGTGTTAGCTTCTATTGATGATCTGGTTTTAAGAGTGTTTCTGGTTAATTTCCTACACCTTGTTTAGTCAATAACATGCGTCAGAAGACGAAATACACTAATTAAGTGTGAAATGTTTGAGCATAAGCCAGAAAAAGACCAAATGTATAGTGAGCGAAAAAGTTATAAAGCTTAAAGGTAATCTGTAAAAGTTCTCAGTCAGTCCTCAGACACACAAACAATAGCTGGAAAACGTAAAGTTGTTAAAAAACGTAAGAACATATTTAAAGTTGCATGAAATGAGGCTACTACAAATCCAACAGATGAAACTTTAGGTGAAAATGAACTTAAATTGCTTATATAGGATCTAAATTTTAATACAAGTAGTAAAAATGGGCATCAAAAAACTCAAATCTGGAAGAGATTTTTTATAGAAAAATAGATGTAGATATGGGGTCAGCAGTTTCTCCAATTCTGGCTAACTTGTTTTACATTCATTAAAAATAAGTGCGATCTGTAAACGTGCTTTTCGACATAAAGTCTTGTCACGGTACGTGGATGGTATCAAACAAAATGAACTGGATGAACGCTTTAGATTTGGTAAGGGTGTATCAGAAAACATGAAGTTCATCACAGAATTCAAATCTGTTGGTATCGAACTGACATTTTTTAATTTTTTGCCCGAAGTAAACCAATAAACCATTTTAATACTCATTATATCGATGATTAGTTTCAAGATTATGCAACCATATAAAAAATGTCGAACACTGAAGAAATAAATAACTTGCCTTATGGACACAGCTAGTCCCAAGATATAGACCCTATTAATATATATTATTGTTGTTGATACTCAGGACAGTGTTTGACGAATCATTGTTTGCATATGTTCGAGATCGAATGCAACTCCGTATCAGTTACGTCTCATTTAGTTACCGGTAATTAAGTCAAGTTTGGGCTTTTCGTAACACTGAGGACTCATCATCTGCATGCGATCGAATTTGATTGACGATTTGCAGACTGTAATTCCAAGTCATTGCCATGTTTTGGAAACCTAACAAACTGTTTTACTAGGTACATTCAAACAGTAAGTCTGACGTAAGACTGATTACACCGTCTTGAGTTTCCTTGCTACTCAGAACATAACTGACTACATGAACTCAGTTTTACTAACCGATGACGTGATACATGCGAGTATGACTTCTTTGTTAACTGCCAGTATTATGCCAAAAAACTTATTATTGAAAAATAGTTTTATTAATGTACTTTTCGTTAGACATTTCGCATACATATATGACCACGGCAAACATACATTGTTTTTGTCTGAAATTTCCAATAGAAAAAGGAGTACTGAGAATTATATGCAATAGTAATACTAACGAAACTGATCTCACAGCAGAACTTGTCTACGATGTAAAGAAGTTTGTTGAGATTTCCTGACTTTTTAGTATGCAACACTGTTACATATATGTGTTTTTCCTAGTTCACTGTAAAGCTGTTAGTCACCCGGTAGTTTCTTATTTTCTAAAGTCTTCTTTCAATAACTACGTAGACAAATTACAATCCACATTAAATAAACGTCACACAGTTGTAAATCACCGTTATGTACTGGTGAACCTATGTGAGAAACAACAAGGAAATTTAGTTGGTGCTATCACGCTAATACAATTTTAACGTTGAAAATATAGTCTTAATACTTTTATTTATAATTGATCCAAATATAAACTAAATAAAAATGGTAGTGGTTTTCAGATAGTTTCTTAACATGGGATGACTTATATGTACATATTTCGGCTGAATCCTAAGAGGAAAACGTCTTAAAATAAGATGATAGATAGAGCGATTCCAGATAACTAGGATCCTGTCTCAAAATTACGTGATACTGAGAAATGTCGGTGTAGTTAGATGATTTATTGATCACTACAACCGCTTACGTTTGTCTGCAGTACTCTATAATTTTTTGTTGAGAATCGTGATTTATGCAAATTCTCATTCTGCCTTTGACAAAGAGCTTTTTACTCATTCTTAGTCTGGCTGGGTTAAACATTATGAATTGAATAGATTTGTGACTAGGTCAGACTCATAAATCGTCATCCTGACTTCATCTGGAGACCCACTGGAAATCAAAAAGTACTGGCGTCTGTGCTGTTGCAAGTTGGGCATTTGTTGATAGCAGACATAAACGACCCAGAAAATTTGTAAGCCAACCAAATTCAGGTACCACAGTAAACATTACATTTTCAGACCACGAATTCGGAATCAGTAGTCCACGTTCCAAACTTTAGTCACTAACTGACATATCTTCGCCACGTACCAGTGCCGTATATAGTAACAGTTTCTTGTTTAATAATGAACATCTTGGACTGAAATACATATAGAAATCATGAGTTTAAACTGGTAGGGAGTATCGAACTATAAACAGACAACTACCCAGTGCTTTTCGATATCCAATCTGATATAAAATCTATCTTTAAACTAACCAAACCCCAGCAGCCAAAAATATATTTTTACATCGACTAATTTGTAATAATAGTCAGAAGCCACTATGCACCATTTAAATTCGTCCGCTGATTAGTATAAATGTATATGCATACTGTTCTAGTTCAAGTATTTCATCATCAACATTCCTTAAAACGATATAGTTTGTTTATAACAAAAAAAATAAAACAAATATATTATACAAGGAGACTACAAATAAATTTTTGTTATCCCTTAAAAACATAATATTGTGATAGATAACTTGAAATTCTTAATACTTCAATGCCAAATTGGTCTTCATTAGATGGCAAATAGATTATATTAATGCTAATGTTATTCACTTAGTTTATACTATTTAACTATTTTGTTGCTTATTTTCATTTAATTAATTTAATTTTTATTGATAATAAGTGATGAATACATTGTGACCTAATGTATACATTGAATATTCGAGATTTTAGAAATCGGTTATATAAACAATAGTGTACACCAATCATTTTATGTACTGCTCTTAATAGTATTGTTATTGTTATTATGCGTTACCCAATTCACCCTGTTTGTATAGTGATATAAAGATGGTCTGATTTAAATTTCGGTACCTGAATATATATATATATATATATATATATATATATACGTTTGTGCTGAACTGGATAACAATTTTCAGTTATTTTCTCTTATATATCATATAAATATATGTACTTAGATATTAAAGTATAACAAACTTAAAAGGCTTGATTATCTCTCATTTGTTTTACGTGCTGGTTAATCAGTCGACCAAATTGTCAAATTAGTAATATATTAACTGTAAATGAGTTCTTTCACTCTCATCTGTGTTTTTGTCGTCAACATTTTTGTACAAGGATTGGTCAGCAGTCTGCCTGAAGAATATGAAACTCAGGTGAAAAACTATCCAGACATTATACAATCTAAAGAAAAATGTCTGCCTCAACAAGGCAATTATGAATTTGCAAGTACACTCGTTTGTGATCCGGATGGGTTGTTATCTGTTGCACAAAGTGAGTAAATGTTTTGTTATTAACTCGTCCTTTTACTGATCTATACTGTAAAACGCAATATTCAAGTGATTTTTTATGAACATTAACCGATAAATGTCTAATAATTGATAGCTTTGAAATTATAAAGTACATCCTGTGAAGTTAATCAGTGAAGTAAGCACTCGAATTCAGAGGGAAAACTGCTTAATAAATTCATAGCAATTTGTAACGACAGTGTCAGGCAAATAGTCTTAAATGCACTTTTTTTGTTAACCATTGGATAAAGGTGATACTAGAAATTTATTTTTATAGCATTTATAACACTATTTGTTGGGTGCTTGGAGCTCAATTTACTATCGACATTGTGCATAAGTATAGCACACGTTTTTCGGAATTGTATTGGATTGAAAGTTTCTGATTTATATACCGTTATACGTCAAGGTTTCTTTAAGGCTTTATGAATATCATTTGTTCCACATAAGCTGATATGAGAGCCTACATAAAAATGCATCATCATGGATGGATTTTAAAAAAGAGAACAATTAATCTTGTCTTGCTGCTGACAACGTTGTGAACTCAGTTTGATCACTCTTCTCTGTCTTCTTGGTTATCAAATTACTTCGAAACCTATGTAGGTAGTTTTCAAATATTTTATACTTAGACTTTAGCACCACAGATTTAATTTCTAGAGTAAGGAATTTCTGAACGAATGCTTTAAAGCTAATACCATTACTAAACTGAATGTACTTACCAGATCAATATGAATACATAAATTTTCTTTCTTGTATATTTCTGACGTATTTGAGAACTCTTCTTAAGTTTCTATCACCATATATGTTCTTATTTTAAATATCAGAGACTCACGAATTATGGTGCGAGCCAAAATCACGATCGGTATAGATTACAAAACTGGGGTGCCATTTACTAAATATCTGCAAGTTGTACTATTGTTTTATATGAAAATTCTGATAGCTTATTTTCAGTTTTACATACCACTTAGATACTCTCATTTCAAGTTTCTTTTCACCGAAATTGATCGTCCGAAAGTTTATCTTTGATACTAACCTATGTGAGGCTTTATTGTTTTCGATAATAGCAACTTAACTATATTTCACATTCAATATAGACTCTGTTTGAACTATTTAAAATATGATATTATTAACAATCTACACTCAAACCTTGGTAATATTACTTATTTAGAATACGGGTTTTATCTACCTATTGAAAACATGAAATATACGAAAGTATTTTTGTTTTAGAGTTAACTTAACAGAATTGTACATTAAACTGGTTTATACTGCAGACCGAACTTTTGACACAGCAGCTTATACAACATTTGGCTGAGTTGTTTGATAGTTGACTAAGAAGCGCAAGCAAAGATTAATAGGATATACTTATAACTGTAAAGAATATTTTATGACGCTCGTAATGTAAAAATTTACAGATTTACTGTTTGTGAATTAATGAATGATTTATTTACTTCTTACTATCTTAAAAATTAAGAAGGATGAAATCAATATTATGTTGCCTTTTCATCATTGCTATGTATGATCTATGTATTCTACATTATGCCAAAGAATAATGATCGTAATTAGCGTAACACCAACTCAAAGTATATTAGTAGTATAGTTTAAATATGATCATCACCAAATGAGTCCTATACATCACCTGGCTAAAATTCATCTGAGGGAAGAATTGTCACTTAGATTCTGTTGCTGTTCAGTTTATCTAATGAAATTATTCTAAATAGTCTGTTCAATACACCTAGAATGATGAATCAATCATTTATCAATAACAAGACTAGTCTTGTTTGGACAAAGTATGAAAAAGCTTTTAAGTTGACTTACCATGCTATTAAATCTGATTATTACGATTGCATTAAACAGCTATTAGATAAGGACTATTCTATTGAAATTTTTGTCAGCATGTTAAAGGATCGAACCTCCAGCACACTCAGTAGTATAAAAAAAGCACATATCATGGATCAGTACTATATAAAATTATAGTTGATTGAATTTTTACCTCCATGGAGCACTTATTAATTAAATATTAAAGGAAATACTTAAATAATCTAATATAAATGAGAGTACAAACAAACCAGTAAATAAGCAAATGAGTAAATATGAAAAGTCCCGTCTAAATTTGAACGAATAGTTTCACAATATTTGGGCGCCGAGTTAATGTTAGACATTAAAAAGTTGTTCATATATGTAGTGAAGATTTTATGTATGCTCCAACTAGTAACGTACATAATATAATAACAATAATAGTGTAATTGACTGATATTAACCTTGAGAGTAACAAATGGAATGGTTTATATTTTTCTGTTCAATTTGCTATGAATAGTACGACTGATTGAGAATGATAGTTAAAATTGGAAGTTATCCTACTAGCCTACGGATAGGGACAATAATTTTTAAACAGAGGATGAAATGGGGAAGTTTCATTTGACCTAACTTCACTTCAATTAATGACGGTGATTCATATTAATAAAACAATCAAACAATATAAAGATCAGTTACTATTACTGATGCTTGGAGAATTTTATTCTCCAATCAATGACATTTGGAAAAAAGTAAAATATTTCATAAATATCTGAATACTAATAATTCTGAATAGTTATAAACAATGGTTTTAACAGTAGCATGTTTTCCTAGGCGAGTTACAGTTACGGCCGAGAATAAATTATGCTGTGATTGTTCACATGTACCTTCGTTAAGCCACTATACTTGCTGAATGCAGTAGATTTTTCCACTTGGAACACTTTTATAACTCATGGAAACCACTAAATTACTCTGATGATCATCTGCCTTTTAATACTTGATGGTTATTCAAATGAATAGTGTCATTAGAAAATGAATATTCATTTATGTTACATTCATACTCTTCAAATCATCGTATCAAACATTAAGAAATAACAAATGAATTTATGTTGGTATAACTACATTAAAGGCTGTTAAATATTTTTTATAAGTATGATAAACTAAGTTGTTTGCTTTTTAGATGGCGGTGCGACAGATATCTGATTTCACCTATTCTAAACTGGTTTCATCTTCAAGTATTGATTTGTTGTAGGCTAACAATGAAGGTTCTCTCTGATGATTCCCATGTTTCCGTGAGTTTCGGCTGAGCGCCGATACCCAACGATTTAAACGGGATACTGAGCTTATAATTGTCATTGAATAAAGCCAACCGTTTCAGTTGTTGTAACAGTTCAAAATAAATCATATGTTGATAGGGTATGAGCATGAAGAAAATCAGATTTTGTTTGATAAAAACTAGTCTCAATAAACCTACGTGTTTTGTTCAAGCGTTGATTCTCTTCAACGAGTTCCCGCATCACGGAATCCATCAAAAACAAGAAATCATTAGGAAGCTGCTTTTTCCCAGCAAAAAGCTATTAACTAGTAGTACGTACCATAATAACTGTAATGGAAAACAATTTACCTAATGGTTATTAAATTGTGATTTATGGATACAGTGCAATAGTTTTGTGGCAGACCTTTTCACTTATCAGTTCACAAAAGAATTTAAAGACATTTTGTAAAAAAAAATGGACTGTTTGATAAAATGTCATCCTTTTTAACCTGGTTCCTATTGATGTTGTATCAATGATAACAATCACGAATAACAAATAGTGATCTGAAAGTAAATAATAAATTAAAACATAGGCGTACTTAGTTTGCCCTTATGCTAATTTTTAAGTTGGCTTGTGTTTTAACATAACAAATGACTTTAATATTCCTTTTATTATCTGAAATAAAACACTTAGTTTACAGATAGGAAAATGTTATGGATAGTGAAATGTATTTAATGATAGTTCTTCTAATGTTTCGATTTCTAGTTAGAAATTGAAGTTTAATAATTCATCTATCGATTTCATGATGATTCAATTGACTTAGGGTAAATTAATGTCAGTAGGGATTACATTACTAACTACTCGGTATATTTTGACTATAATGTAAGATGAATTCTTTTCCTTTGAACTTTTTGGATGCGTTTATGATTAACTTTGGAAGAATAAATAATAAGCAGTGTTCGTGTAGTTGTTTTTTGTACAAATGATTAGATTGAAATACAGAGTTACTGGGTTATTAGAGAACAGTAGAAATTTCTACTGAGTCGATAGAGCAAGACACATTGGTAAACATCACTGTTATCAGTTGTGAGTTAATGTCCGTCACAAACTGACTTTAGCTTTTGAGCCATTGAATTTCGGAATGCACTGAACAGCTGTTTCGTTTAAGTTTGATTTGTGCTGGATTCGTAACGCTGATTAATCTGAAACCATAGCGAATAAGTGGTGGACTTTCCTTTGACATTTAACGATTTACTAGCTGCAGTTGTTTCTTGACAAAAACTGTTTCAAAATCATACTAACCACAAAAATGGAATAACTAATAAAAGCAATATTGTTTTCTAGTAGATCCCCATTAGGGTTTACTAGAATGAAGGGTTAAAGGAAAATAAATATCTGAAAAGCAGTATAATAACCAAAGGGGTTTGCAAGTTACTGATAATAATAATAATAATAATGCACGAGGATACTAAACTATTCAGAATAAATGATAGATCGTTTTCACAATAATTTTATATTGAGACTAATCACTCATGCAACTTGTCCTTTTAAATAACGTAAGCGATAGAGATCATTCTTTAATCAAATTGAATTTCTCCAGTTCTCATATTCGTAAATTGAAATATTTCATCATTCTTTCATGCTAACTTTATTATCAATACTACTACCATTACTACTAATGATCATAGTAACACTATTGATAATAATGATAGTAGTAGTAGCAATGATAATAGTAATAATACCACAACTAGCTATGTAGTTTACTTGATCAGTACCACTGACTTGTGAACTACCTTGATTGATTTGCTGTTTCGCATTTTCATACGTAAATGTAGTCGCTTATTGGAGAAAAGCCTGATTAAGGTCACATTTAAGGTCATTTTCGTCACTTGTTTTAAAGTACTGACTAACTGTTTGTAATAAGAAATCCCTCTTTTGATTGATAGACTTTTAAACAAAATTCATTTTAGTCATACGTACACATGTTATATAAGTGTTATGAGTATGCGACCCAGTGGTAATTGGTTCAGTGAAGAATGCAATCGAAAGTTATTCACTTCCGAATCAGTAAATGACTGACTTATGATTTCAGCGAATTAAAAATTGGAATAATAAAATTGATCAAAAGAACAGAAATGCATCGAGGAAGAAAGCGGAACCACTTGATGAAAAGCTGTCCCATCCAAGTGTGAATACCAACACCATGAATTATTTCATAGAAATAAAATAACTTAACTTTTTTATAAACACCTTGATAATTATTTATCTTTATGTTTATTCTAGTCATCTCACAATATTTTTATTATCAAAGCCACTCAGGGTTTATTCACAGTCTTAATAGACTATACAGACAAAAATGGACGCAAACTAGCTAGCCTATGGTTATAATGAGAGTGAAAATATCACTAAACAGCGAGATAAAGTAAAACCTATGAATATGTAACCATACATGTAACCATCAAACAGGATTGTCAATGAGTCTGTTTGTTGTACATTTGCTCTTCAAAGGTTCAAAGTCAAATACAAAATTTAACGCAGAAATTAGTTTTAGCATATTAATTATGGGAGAGATTTTCTTATTAAATCAGCTAAAGGATAATAATCTTTGAATATTTTGTAAAACGCATTAAATTAAAATTAGTCACAATACATATATATCTGTTGAAATATAATTACTACTTAACAAAGAATTGAAAGTCGATCTATGTTACAGATAATAGATCTCGGTATCTCCGATGTTGTTTAAAACAATGACCATGTTTGTTAGTAATTAAACTGTAAAATTATGACGACATAAATTTAGACAGACTCCTGTTTTCATGAGACAATTCGTTACATAGATGCGGATCATGTGATAGTATATAACTTAGAAACATTAAAACATATTTACAAAATCACTTAACTCTAATAATCCAAGTAGTGATATTAGGTACAATTTCAATTATTTATATTCAACCATCAAAACGCTTAAATGCAAATAAATATGTTCCAAAGATATTACATTACAAATAAATTTAGACTGATTATATGCCGATTATATCACAAAAATATTTATAATTAGTTTTCGTGAAGAAGAAGTTTAGCCAATATAATGTTTCGTCCATTCTATATGTTATCACTTACTTACGCCTGTTACCTCTCGTGAATGAGCATAGCCCATCCATCAGCATTCTCCATCCAACTCTGTCCTGGGTAATCCTTTCCAGTACTATACCATCCCACCTTTTAATATGGATCTATGTTCATCATGCATCACTTATTAATGGCAATTCCAAGATGACGAGAGTAATGACTATGAAGGTGCATATTTCATCAATAATTCTGTACTTTAGAATAACTTAACTTCTTATAGCATCTTATAATTCATATTATTAACAACTCTTCAAAATTTCGTATAAATATAAAATAGATAAATCACATCTGTTTGAGTATTGAACTCTTATTTCTTAAACGTTACCTCTCCGTTTGCATTAACTTGATTATGCCAAAAATAGTCATGGGTTCTGAAAGACTTTTCAGAATATATAATATTATTTGTCCTGAACAACGCGAAAAGATTAATGTGATTACTTAAATGCAAGTGAATTGATTTAATTCATTATCACTTTTACCAACCTTCCACACAATGTACTCCGGATCTCAATTACAGTTAAGTATTGCTGTAGTCTACTGGATGCAAAGTTAAATATCATGGAAAATGTTTGTGTTATTTGGAAATGTAGATCTAAGTAGGAAAAATTCACCGGAGAATAAGGCCTATGGCCTTCTCTGAGTAAGTTCATTTTTCATGCATAATAAACACTTCAATTCTTCCTACATTACCTGTATTCTGATCAATTTACCACACTTATCTATTCTTTCGTAATCTATAAATTTATCATACCTCGTATTTGACTACCTTTCCACGTTATTGATCAAATCTAAATTATGTTAAACTTTTAGACTATGTCGTTGAAATCATTAATGATTGGTACAGATGGCTGATACACAAAATGTCCATGACGGGTGTTTAAATAAGTTAAACAAAAAAACAGACAAGTAGTAACGGTAAATTGAACTACACCTTGCCCCTAAGGAACAGATAGGTTAAGATAAAATGAAAAATTGTAAAGAAACTTCACAAAATACATCGTTTGAAAATTTCCTACCCCTTTTTTATTAGTAAAATGATGTAGAGAGTGTTTTAGGAAAGTGAAAGTATTGTATAGGTTCACTGTTTGAATTTCTTATTGAATTCGCTGAAAAATAAAGTTAAATAAGAACGTCATTTATATATATATATATTACTAACAAGTAGACAAGTTTTACCTAATAAACCTAAGTACCTAATAGTGCTAGCAAAATTACGCTTTCCGTGTAGATTTTCTCAATGCACTATCCTAAGTTTTCAACTTATCAATTAAGGTTGGTATACAGTCTCGTGGATTTGAAAAAAACTTGTGTTGAGTCACTAGATCGAGATGTGACTGATCTTAGCAGAATACATTTATAAGGATTGATATTGTTCTGGTGTAAAACAGTGAAGAGAAATTTATTCTATTGTGAAATGTGACGACAGTTACCCATTAAAAACCCATTGAATAAGATAGATTTTTAAAACTAAGGGACGATTTAGAAAAAAAAATTAAAACACTTATGCTATGACATGAAAATGCTAAACAACTAAATTAAGAAATAAACTCTCAACTGAACAAAACTATGTCAAATTCTAATGGTATCACTCTTCACTTTCTCATTGGTGAATAAATGGAGAGATCATGGTAAACTTTGTCAGCTGATAATAATGCTGAAATATTCCTCGATATTATATATTCTGTTGTTTTTTGAAATACATTAATCTCCTTAGTTAATTAAGAATATTGATATCTGGACATGTACAATAAAACAAGAATATTAGGTTTTATTAAACCGTTGTTTCCTTCTATTCGACCATATACTCAACAAGAAGAAAGAAAAATAATTCTTACGTGTCGTGATGTTCATAGTTGGTTCTAACAGAAACCGGGGAAGAAACGCTTGTATGATGCTGTATGAGGTTTAAATCAGGTAACAGGTATTATGTCGATAACATTGTTTAAAGTTGAGATTAACATAAACGCACGATGCGTTTAAAATCTAAATAGAGAATGATATGTTCACAAAATGGAATATGTTACTGACTAACTAGTTTTTCTTACTAAATTCCAGTCCGTCTCTTACCCAACTAGTTAATAATCGTGACATTTTTGTTTTGATTTTCTAGTAAACATGTTAAACACCAAATTACATCACATCAGAACATCTGTAAACTTCGACAAACCTAGCTGTGATATAAATAATCCACGGCCAGTAATAGGAGTGGCGATAGTTAAAAAGATAGAAGTTGAGTAAGTTACAAAATTTTTCACCCTCTAAAGTTATTCGTAAGTCAAAGTATTCTGGCCTTTGTTGATTAAATTCAAATGCTAAGTCTGTCGTTATTAATATATATATATATATATATATATATATATATATATATATATATATATATATATATATATATATATATATATGCACATGCAGCTATACTGGATTAGAATAAAAGCTATTACCAAATATTTATGCGAATTCCTTACCCTAAAGTACTATCGAGGAGTAACGTTTGTAAAATTATTTCTCTAGTATATTTTCCAAGTCATGTAGAGATATGAAAAAACTGTTTTTCATTTGAGTTTTCTCCCACTTGCAGGTACTAGAATGGAGAAGAGACTGTGTGAACCCGTTTCTGAAATAAGACCTCAGATACTCTTAGGTAGAGTAATGAAAGCTTAATAAATCTCAAACCATTGAAATGCATATCTGGTAAACCATGAACTCAACATGTCCATTATGTCGTAGAATTGTGAGTTGATGAAAGGCGATTGTGTAGATGGACTATAAGCAGCAATCATAGTTTACAAGCACATGGAGAACAGATTATGAAAATATCAAGAGTTTCCTAACAGAGCTATCAAAAGTGAAAGTGATATTAACGTATTAGTGGACGGTTACTTATAGCTGATCAAAATTAATTCTCCACAACGTCACTTTTTGAAAAAGCCTTAATGTAAATTATATTTTCCTAAAATTTTAGCAGTAGTGAAAATAATAAGGAAATTTTGTTTTTATATGAATGGAGAATCAATTAGTAGAAACCTTGAAGACTCTGTAGTAATATTTACCAGTTTTCTGAAAAGGTTTTAGGTTCGTACACACATACTGTAGAAAATTACAGAGGTCACAAATGGTAAATGAAGCCGATATTATTGAAGTACGAAATGTCAGTCAGCTACAACGTAGGACCAGGCACATATATGTGTCAGTCCAAGTTGACTACCTCATTAGGACAACAAAATGGACACCAAATTCATAGAAGTAGTCACTTCAGGAGTAGTAATATATAAAAGGAAGATTATACATAAGAATATAGTACAGGAATAAATAATTAGTTCGTAGAAAGATATAAAGCAATTTTAATCTCACGGTTTAAGGGACGACAAAGAATGTATACACATACGCCATGGTGATCGATTCTGAGCCATGTCACCAAGACTCTCCAACCATTGGTTACGATAGTCACGCGGACCCCAACCAAGTAGTCTGCATCTACCAACATGGCTGAGGCCAGAAGTTAACGACTTTATGGATTAATGCCATGTTTTGATTTGGCTGCCTCCAACTTTATTTCATCCGTCTCCAACACTAGTCAGCATTGCGCGCCGTGGTAGTTGGTGGTTTGGCATGCGCAATACGTGGCCATACATCTCAGTCGATGAAGATTCACACAATTAAGACGACGAGAACGTTATTTAAAGCAGTCTATGTTGGAATTGAACAAAAATGGAGATAGTGGACAGTCTTATCAGACATCACTTAAGGTTGCAAAATCACATGACAATTTGCCATAAGCTCTGACTCGACTAGTAGTGTTCGAGTAAAGAGCCTCCACAAGGTTTACGTACTTATGAGGTACACCTTTCAATGACAAACTGCCTCTCAGTCTATCGAGTCGAATGTTGCTTTTAAATCAAGAAAACCTATCATTGTCGGACGCCGATAAGCATGCCTGTGGTCTAAAACCTGACGAATGTTAAATATCTGGTCGATGCGGTCACGACTAGGTTTGAAGCTGGCCTGGTGTTCTCGTGTTTGCAGTTCACGAGTTTTTGTTAGGCGCCCGATAATTATTGAGGCTAGTATTTTATATGCTATGTTAGTCAAACTAATCCCTCTATGGATATCACAGGATGATTTTGACCCCTTCCTATGTGTATTGGGATAATCAGTAATTGCAATCAATCAGATGGGATTACATCCAACTCCTAGATCCTAGTTAAAATATTAGTCAATCTAATCGCTAAAACTAGACCACCATTCTTAAAGACCTCAGGAGCCAGTCCATCTGGACCAGCTTTTCTTCCTCGTTTCAGATTAGCTATAGCTTTTTGAACTTCAACTAGGGTGAGGGACCCACTTTATTGATCCATTCAGAATGTTTGGGAATGATGGGTAGTTAAAGAGTAGCTGAAGGTCAACTGAACTGCACCTTAAAATGATCCGTCCATCGTTCTAAACGTCTAGGCTGAGAGCAGATAAGAGTGTTGTCTTTTTCCGAGATCGACTAACACTTGATTTCTTAATTCCAGTTTCTTTTATTGGTCGGAAAAGCTGTCTTGTGTTGCCGACAGTCGCTGACTTTTCCATCTCTTTTACTTTCGTTGCCCTGATTCATTTTCGCTCTTTATTGTGTCCGGAGCCTGATGGGATGAGTTTATGAGTATCTATCAGGGCAATAGACTTAGAAGAAATCCACTGGTTTTTCGTAACCCTTTGGTTGAAATCACTAGTAGATGTCACTGCTGTTTCCGCAGCTGTTTGTGTATCTTTCCAAGCAACATCAGGATCAGCCTTGTTTTCAGAACTACCTAAATGTGACTTCAGTTGTTGCTGGAATCTACTTCTGACTTCCTCGTCACTGAGTTTAACTCTGATGTGTCTTCTTAATGTAACTTTCCTGAGTCCAGTGAGGTGCAAGCAAATGCGTGTTTGTATTATAGCATGATCTGAGTCCAAACAGGTATTCCATAATGAGCGACAGTCTTCTATCGAGCCTCTCCAACGATGACTGATGGCAACATTGTCTACTTGAGTCCATCGTTGGTTTGATGCTGGGGTCGCCATGTTATACGATGTCTCTCCTTATGCTTAAAGTTATTGCTTGTTAAAAATAGACGATTATCTGAGCAAATGATCACCATTAAAGTCACCTGCTACGAGCACTATGTCCGAGGGTTTAGCTTTCTGAAGAAATCCAGAGTTTTCTGTGAAATTCATCTTTCACTTCATCCGGGCTGCAGTCAGTGGGAGCGTAGGCAAAAATGACAAAAAGGCAACGACGTGTGTCCCTATCCTTCCGAATTCTTACGGATCCGTTTAGCCGAACGGCACATAAACGACTGTTAACGAGAATCCATTTTAAAAGTGATTGTTCTGCCCTCATACTTAGTGTTATGCCTACACCTGCCAGTCCAAAGAGAACTAACCATCGGGGTCTCAGATACACGGAGGGTGTATCTCGTCGGCTCCACATTTTGGCGAAGTGATGTCAAGTGAATAACCACACTGTGATCCTGTATGCGTGTTTCGGAGACACAGCATACATCAATGGTACGAGACTCTAGGGTTTTAGTAAAGGAGGCCTGCTGGTCGATTTGACATGGAGTGAGTACGTTGATGGCTTCAATGTGTAGTTTGGAGCGAAGTTTCAGTAGACGTGAGAGTGTTTCGCGAACTAGAATCGTTGACCAAATTGTAGAGTTGAAAGTCGATGTTGGAGGAATAATAGGAATTGAAGAGGGAGATTGATTATGAGTACAGTGATCTTAAATGCTAGAGGTATGAGGGCGGTTATCACTCAATGGCTGCACACACCGTGGAAGGTTATCTAAAGGGACCTGGAAAAGAAATTGTGTGATCTTAGTGACCCGAGAGTGCGGCCGCAGTGCCCAAGGGACAACTGCTTGAGGCCGGTCACACACGACCTTTTTGTGGGAAATTTTCGTGTCACCTCCGTACTTGTTGGGACCTTACCGCCGGAGACGGACATCCGTGGGATAAGGCGAGGAGTGTATTTTTAGGGCCGACCTTCTATAACCCCACCTTTTCTTGTGGGAAGGCAGCATCTCTGTTATTCTGATTGTCTGAAGGAAACATCTCACTGCCATCACAACTTTGTACAGTCAACAGTACAAATTCGTCCTCGGATGTTGGGTTTGCTGCATTTAGTCTAACACTCTTCTTCCGACCTCTCTGGCATTGTAGGACCTTGAGGAACGATTGTTCCATCCAGTATAGCTGAATGGGTTCATTACGATAGGTAAAACCGACCACTACGTTCAGATAGCAGCAACGGTCGGGGATTAAAAAAAGGGTTTAATGGAATTTTTATTTTGTTAAGAGAATAAGTGTAATTCGAGGATGTATAGTGCATTACTCGGTAACGTCAACTACTACAATCTGAAAACGTTTTGCAAAACACATTAAAGTAGTCTCACAAATGTCTTCATGTGAACCGTTTTTAAGAACAATCAAGAACATTAGGTTAAAATCTGGTTCACTAACAATTTATCATAGGCCTGAATCGAAATGTTTTCTAATAAACCCTATATTCTGGGGAATCAATAAATGTAAGGTAATAGTGAAAACAAGATCTACAAATTCAAAAATACTTTCTCTGGGTAATAGTTCCAATGACAAACATTGAATAGGATCATAAGAAAATGGAAGCAATCATAGATACAAACTAGTTAACTGAAGATTTTTATCTGATTGAATTTGACCTCAGAAAATATTGGGAAGGTTCGGACAAATAACATTCTTATTTTTCGGTCTTGGTTTTGAAATTCAGATACTACAACAGTAATCCAACATATAGAAACACAGGAATTTTTAGTATTTGCAACTTGCTCCAGTGTAGTAGAAGTATTTTTACTTGATTATTTTCATTTTCGACTATTACACTAATTTCGAAAGTAAATTCATCAGCATTGGCCTACGTAAAATTAGGTTCCACTCTATGTCAAAATTTGTTCATCACTAGGATAATTTAAATCGAAAATATAGCACCATTATGATTCGAAAAAAACAACCGAAAGTCACTGTGTGTTATGCTTTATCGCTCTGTCAATTATCACGTGACAAAATCGCCAGTCAGAGCACTGACTTATATGAAATTGTCCCCATGCTAAACCAATGATGTGTTAACAAGCACGACCAGTCTCAAGTCAATTCCGAGTCCTTATTGGTCCGCTGTATAGGCAGCCTCTCACCTAACCCAGCCCATTCAGTCCAGAACACAAATACCATCCTCTGCTATATGAATCGTATATTTCAGACATACTCGGTTTATATACAAACAGACCAGAGTACATCATAACATAAAATGAAAAATAATAATCATACGAGATCAAACCAAAAGTGGCTGTAAGTGGTACCGTAACTGATAAATCGGGAATAAGTTTAGGCTGGTAAATCATATTGCAACAGCCAATAGGTTAAATGAAAGCTTATGGTAAAAATAATATGAATACACATATAATCTAGTTACTTAATAGTTATCCTATAATAATATATGTAATAATAGTTCACAAGTAATCCCTAGCAATTACCATTCTTTATTCTTCTGATACAAAAAGTGCGTAAACTACCGGTTGAATTTTTATGTCGTTTTTTTCGTATATTTTGCTCATAAGTAATATGGACAAGGATCGACTGTTGAAATGTGCTGCAATATTTTCATATCGTCTATTCGATAAATGGAACCTACCATCTCATTGTCATTCTGAATCTGGTAAAATTATTCTGTTATACTCGAAAGATGATGGAGTGGTAAGTTATTTTAATGTCATCACATAGTCGATCATTTTTATTACTATCGTTTTTATTTTTTACAGTAAAGTTTTAAGATTATTGTCTTGAGTGAATAATGTTTCCAGAAAACGGTGTTAGATGATAGACGTCAAGTAGTTATCGATTCACAACAAGACCTCGTACTAATATGTAGTGTTCTCTAGCAGCACGTTTAGAGTTTTTGTATTTCTTCAAATATGGAAAGCATGTTCCAAATCTTTTAGTTACTGTCGTGACTTATTTTACCATAGATAATGAACAGTTATAGACTTTTAATATTCAATTCATAATATTTTGCTGCATTACTGAAGTGCATCTTATTCTCATGTGAATCTACTGTCAGTAAAGACCATGTAAGCCATAAAGCTACAAGTATTTTATTAGCAGCAAAAAATAATATTATAAACTACCTAAATTATAATTGTATAGTTTATCCTCAGCAAAGCACACGTATTTAATGCTAGTTTAGTTTATTGCTTCACATTTTGATGAGTGAGCTTATTAATGTCCACAGTATGCAACTAGATCTGATGAGATAATATTACACATTGTATATATAATAGTAGCCCATTCAAGTTTAAATGTGTTGGATCATTTGTCTAAGAATTTACTTGATATTCTAATGAAGAGTAAATAACAGTATGATACTGATTAATTACTGGATTACTATGTTGGATTTCTTTAGGATTTATCCGATATGATGTATAAATAAAATGAGATGAAGTAAACGACAACTTGTATTTAAATCATAGTATAAGATGAGCAGCACATTTTTGTGGAGAGATGCAGTCATCATTTCTCAAACATATTACCTTAAATTTGTGCTTCCAAGTGTCTTTACCTTATAGAAACCTCATTTGGAAGAAAACATAACCTTTATGGATGACCTTATGAAAAATCAGTTTATGAACAGTCATTTGTTCAGTCTATAAAAATACAAATATGCACCAACCTTTGTTCTTACTTTCTTTAAAATAATAAAGGGAACTATGTGTATGAAATATGAATCTGCCATACACAAAACTACCAGTTTTACACCACAATTATATTGTATTATAAAAGCCTCGTTTATAACATCCTTATTTTCAAAATAAGTTTAAACACAAAAAATTTATTTGAAATAAAAGTTGATCAAAATACCTGTCTTACTTCGCGTTAGATATTTAATGTTTTCTTAACTAATAAATCAAATATTAACTTTCACCACAAAAATAAAACGATTGGAAATTCTAGGTCTTTGTCTCAGCATTTAGGTTAAATGTATAGAATAACCTAACTCCAGACACTAAACAGGACAAATTCCACTAAACAAAATTAGGTGGTACGATTTATCATTACTAATTAAATCTACCACCATATCAAGTAATATATATTCAGGACACAAAGTTGCTTCTATTCATAATTATTAAACCCATGGTAGTGTAGCCCGAGCAGGATAAGTCATTTGGTGGGATTGTGAACGAGTATAATATGGGATGGCTAGGATATACATTGCTCAAACCACAGCTTAACTTGACTTGTGGAACCTGCGATAATAGTTTAAAAGGCTTTGTAGTGACTATGATAAATTTTGCAATTCCGGTTCGGGATCTTCATCGTGGAAAAGAACTAATGAATGGAATTCTCAGTGACATGTATGTGGATGGATAGTGGGTTAAATGAATTTCTTAAATATCTCCCCAAAATTTATTGTACCTAATTGTTGTTCTTGTTCATGTTCTGTCCCTTCATATGCTTCCTGTTCAATTGCTATGTTTCATTCTATTGAATTTCTAATGAAGTATTAAAAAGTAATAACATTTACAACGGTACATTTTGTTAACGTTTTCGTGTTATAAAGTTTCTTTTTAGTTAACTGTGAGCTTGTTAGTATTTTTTTTCATAACAAAAGCCGGTCACTAGAAGAATCAAGTGCTTGGCTCAGTTTTGAGGATGGTTTAGTAGTATTATACCAACGTAAAACATTTTTGTGATTCTCTACATGATATCATGGTTCACCGAAAATCTAACACAAGAAATGAATCTAAAAAGCAATACCGTGATAACCTTTGTGTTACATATTCTTGAATAACACTTAAGCTACAGTTGATTCACAGAAACGTGCAGTGTAACTAACTTCAACCATATGTTAACAAGTGAAAAAAGATTCAAGTGCTACACATGATCAGATATATATATATATATATATATATATATATATATATATATATATATATATATATATATATATATATATATATATATATATATATATATATATATATTAGATTTAATTATTAAAGGAAATAGTGTCAGATAATTAATAACTGCATCATATCCTAAATGGACTTTCGGAAAGACAATCAATGAGGGTTTGAATAGGCGGAATTAAGTGATCTAAAGTTGAGAATCATTTCTCCCTATTACGTGATATATAGCTAATGTTGCCACATCTATATTTCATTCAAAGTATATCTTGTCACTTAAGTTATATCGGGAAATTATTGTGGAATTAAGGAAGTATCAAAAGAAAAACTTTGAGGAGCATCTGGCCTTAAACAAGTACTCCAAAATTTTCAAGATATAGGAAGTAATTATCAATCAAGTTTGAAAGAAAATGGCAACTTTGGATAGTCAATAAAGTTACTGACAAAACTTTGTTTGAGAATTTTAAAATCAAATTATCAAAATGGAAAGGTGTATCCAGCTATGTTGATTTAGGAGCTACAAATTTCGAATTTTAAGACTTACTTTGTCTTGATAAATCCATATATATAACTCCGGTATATTTCTGCCTGTGGATCTTAATGTCAGGAAAGGCATTAAAGAGCATTCTACATATAAGTTGAACAAACTTTTTTTAGTGGATTGTGAAGAAGTAGTTTTACCTATTTTAGAAGGATACAGCTAAATAAATCAGCAAGTTCGAAAGTAACAGGTCTTACCAAGACAAATTTACGGATTATTTCATCATGTTCAAATGGAGGTGCTTCTAATCATGGTAATAATTTCCGCCATTCAGATAACAACTGTTTCATACTTAGAAATATGAAACTAGAACACGTCATTTTTATGCTGCAAGAATGAACTAATTTATACCATTTACGCTTTCTTTCAGTTATATACAATCGCTGGGAATCTGCTGAGACGAAAACTTACAAGTAAACAAATCATAAACATTGCCATACGCTCTCGGGAACAATTTTCTACCAGTATAAGTGACGGTATTGCTTATATCATAGAGCGGTATAGGTAAGTGACAAGCATATTGAATTTATTACATCGATATTGGGAAAAATTCTAACAAAACCACAGTTCATTATTATCCTTGTATCACGATGAGGTACTTCAAAGTTACGGACTGTCTTAGCCATGATTATATGTATTGACGGATCAATTTAATCAACACATGAAACATAACGCTTAAAATTAACTAAAAGTTACTATATGGTTTTTTTCATCATCATGATAAATATTCTATTACGGAAAACCAGCTATAGATATTGTACAAAAACGTTTTTTCATACAATTTTTAGGCATGATTTCCCATAGTCCCATTTATTAAAAAAGAATTCGTAATCCGAGAGTAAACTAGGTATTCAGCACACCTGAATCAAACACGTAAAATGTTTTTGCTTGTTTCGCCAAATATATCGTTTTGTTACTGTTAGCATTTAGCCTTCAGAAACCCATAAGGAAAAACGAGTCCTGTAGCATTTTCAAATCTTAATTGTTATTCTATCAACAGGCTAAGTTTAGAAATGGAATGCATTCGAGAGGTATCTGTTTGTCAATCGCTGACGCCATCAACCACATAACTCGTCATTAATTCTTTTTTTGCTTGGTAGGACAGATGGTCAAAAGAATAAACCCACATCATCATAGGTTTGTTTGGTCCAGATCAGTAAAACTATGAGTCAGATAGTCTCCTTTGCCTAGTTTTTTTGGGGAAACCAAAATGATCGGCTACTGTATATTTGGTCAAAGAGAAAAGAACTGACTTTTCGCCAACCTTTTTCATCATTGGAGAATGCATAATCTAAGACGATAAACAGTTTAATCAACTCAGATGCAAAGTAAAAGTCTTTTCTAGGCATAAACTAAGGCTCTACCTTCAAGCATACAAGAGTTAGTTACTTCATTTGAGGATGGAATCGTAAAGTCATTACATGAGGTGGTTATGACCAAGTGATCAGGGTGTTGTGTGAATGTTTGCAGAACCTAAAGCTTATTAGAAACCGATTTTATTTCCTGATAGTTTTAACTTTCGTCAGTTTCACGATTAGACACCAATACAGAACATTTCTACTAGATTAAAGTACAAACCAGTGGTACCAGATACGTTTCCACTTTGATTTACCAGCCATAAGAACGTCTTTTATATGATGATATTTAAATGGTACATGTATAATGTAATCACTGAAAAAATCATTTTTTACTCAAGCTTTCAATAAACTTTCTGTTTAAAGGTGTAGGCTGAATGAGTTACTTTCAACAAGAAGCACTAGCAAAGTTTGACTTAAAGCAGAGTAAAACAAACTTCAAACAATTTAATAAACTATGATTTTAAATGACATCTTAAATCATACAAGAATACTGCTTTTTCTCTTTTAGGGAGGCGGTTGAATCGAGATCAGCGGATCTCTTTGACAAAGCCAAATAACTTAGAATCTTAAATTCTGATTTGTTAAAGCTTTACGATTACGATATGTGCTGTTTAATTTCATTTTTATGCATGTTTTACCATTCCTCCATATTATTAGTTCATTTAAAACTTTATTCTTTAGATTAATTTAAAAATAAATTTGTAATCAATTCAGCACAGTAATATTTGTTGGACAAAAGTTCGGAAGAGTGACTGAGTTGCTGGAAAAAAACTCAGAAAGCATAAAGAGAAATCCCAAGCACGGAACTTTATAAATTATTAATAAGACAAATAAACGAAATTAGTACAAGCACTAATAGCGATAAACATAAGGATTCAGGAGCACGTAAAATAACACATGAATTTTATCTTTGTGCGTCTTTTTGTGAACTAAATAGTTTTATTTTGAAACATTTGCAGAACTTCGTGATAACCCGCAGAAAAACTTTGAAAGTGCTTAAGGTAACTATAATCATACATAAATACAAGACTAAAGGACTGAATGAATTAAAATATAAAACGGCATATGACTTAAACCAGTTTGTACAAAGACCAAGAATGACTGTGAGAGATAAAAGACAAGACAATACCACACCAGATGCAGCATGAAAAAACCTTCCATTACTATAAGCCAACAAACTTCTCCAGAGATTATAGTTAAAGTGAAGCACTAAACCCATAAATAGTTGGAAAACAGAGTAAAAAACTGTGACTGCACCTAGAAATCCGTGCCATGTGGTGAAATGCGGTTTTCCGTCTAATATTTTGTTAGCATAAATTCCAAGAAAACCAATGAAAATAAATAGTACTGAAAGGGACTCGAGTATCCAGTGAGCTTTTATCTGTAATTAAGATACAAAATAAAAAATGCGGTAAATATCTTAAATTTTCAGCATGGATTTCAAAAGTGCAACATACAGTAGTCACTTCAAATCGTATTAGGATGGGAAACTGTGAACTGTTATTTTAAGATGAAAATGGTTTCCGGGAGTCTAAGATAGAACGTTTATTAAAATGTCCCAATGACTAAGTCATTAGTCATTTTCAAAAATACACTTAAAACAAAATACAGCTTGTTATTTCTATCCTGTATTGCCATTATAGTGTGGGAATTTGCGCCATAGCACATCTGCGTCAGACCCTCGGTTGATGATGTCTCTTTGGTGAGTAATAAGTGATTTGAAGAACAGTACAAATTCTATGGGTGTTAAATGAGAGTTCAGCAAGGTTATTCTAAGATTTATTCGAAGCAACAATTTTGGAGCTTCTTGATATTTTACCTAGAGATGTTTACGCTAGGTGTGTGAAGTTAAAACAAAAACACCCCAATTTATTGTTCAGAAAGACTGAAAAGTAAATTATCATCAAAAAATTCGATTCTTATTTAGCACGTATATTGTATGACCTTCTTGGAACGAACTAGCTGTGATGGTATCGTACTTTGCCGATAGGGTTCGTGGTGTAGGTCAGTAGACTCAAAATACTGCATGAAATTTTTCAGCTTTATTTCCTGTAGCCTTTGTACTACTATTTTGTTCGCTCTAACGTGGTAATTTGACTTATGTTCCTAGTTACGTCAGCAGTTGTCTTTAAGAGGATCCTAGAAGATTATAAATATCCTCCGATAATAACATTAAATATGCAACTACACCTCTAGTCGAAATAGAAGATCCTGATAAAATTGTCACCGTTCCACGTAGTCCAGGTGTGGCTGTCCTGAGTGGTGACAAATGGACTTCAGTAAGGAGAAAAAGAAATGGGAAGACAAAGACTGTGGGCAAAACGCAGCTGGTCAGCAAGGCATTGGAAAAGATGTTGTCGGAAGAAAAATCCTCACTGCGTGACAAGACAGATCTCTCTGAGAGATCAGTCATTTTTCATAAGATAAGAGAATCTTCAGACACTGAACCAAAGGCAAGATTTGAACACGATCTCAATCATATTAAAACATCATTAAATAAACTACTCCCAGATACAGTTTCAGGAGTCAGTATTTGTAAGCTTTATAGGATAGGAAAAAAGGTGGATTCCGAAAGTCCTCCGAAAAACTGCTTCCTGAAGGTTACATTCAACACGGTGTAAGAAAGGAACCTGACTCTAAGTAATTCACGTAAACTGATAGGATCCGGAATATATGTCCGTGAGGATCTCAGCCTAGCTGATCGTATTAAGAGACGAGCTGCTGAAGCGGAAATAAATGGACGTCGAAAAAACGGGGAACGAAACCTTGTTCTTAAGGGTTTTCAAGTTGTAAAAGTTCGGAGCAAAACGATCCCCAAGCCACTCTGGGTGGCAAGGGAAAGCTTTCCACAGACTTAAAGGTATGCTACACAAATGCTCGCAGCCTACTAAATAAAATGGCGGAGCTCAAGTCAGTGATGGATAAAGAAAAACCGGACGTTATTGCTGTCTCGGAAACTTGGTTAACGTCAGAAGTATTAGATAGTGAAATCCAGTTGACTGGTTTCATAACCAGTAGGGCTGATAGATTAAACCGTAGGGGAGGCGGCGTTATTCTGTACACGAAACGTATCCTAACCATAAGATTAGCTGAGACAGTAGCACATGTTTCAGGGACATGTGAGCTGGTGAGATGTAAGTTGAAATGCCGACGGCAAGATATTGAATTAGTTGTGGTATATCGCAGTCCAGAATGTGTAGCAGATGATTTTATCCTAAGTAAACTTAAGTCCTGGTGTAACAACCGTAAAAGTCTTGTAGTAGGCGACTTTAATGCACCACATATAAACTGTGTTAACTTAGAAGTAGGGTCATCCATATCGTCATTCGACTGCAAACTGTTAGAAACCTCGATTGGATTAGCATTATTCCAACACATTAGAGATCCCACAAGATACGACTTGAGAAACTCTTCTCTTTCAGATTTAGTCTTCACACACGGTGATGACGTTGGTCAAACAGCTTTTCTCCCACCACTTGGGAGAAGTGACCATGCAGTCATCTTATTCAAATTCATGGCTGAGATTGCTTGTCAAAAAATTGCGCCGGCCCGTCCTAACATATGGAAGGCAGATATGCAGGCAATTAACTCCACAGCATCGGCTGAGAACTGGGAAATTGACTCAAAGTCATCAGTACAAGAGGCATGGACTCTATTCAGGCAGTTATACAATCGGGTAACTCAACCATACATACCCTGGACTGTCCCGAAGAAAAAGAAGCACGGACATCCCTGGATAGGGCGGGATATTTGATGTTTACTGAGACAAAAGAAGAAATGTTGGGACGTTGTCATCCGCCTTGGCACAACAGGTACGATGGAACGCTACAGATCGATAAGAAACGAGTGTATAACTGAAATTCGTGAAGCCCGAAGAAAATATGAAATGCAGCTGGCAGAATCTGCACTCAAGCAGCCCAAGAGAATATTCTCACACATAAACTACGGAACAAGGATGCATCATTGGATTCCTAACCTAATTAAAGTAGGAAGTGAATCTGAATTGATAGAGGAAGATCAGGAAAAAGCAGAGGCTATGGCTGACTATTTTGGGGCAGTTTTCACTCAGGAACCTCCTCTAGAGAAAGACCCAGACCCAAATACAGAGTCAACAAACCAGCTGCTCACCGTGGACTTCGACCAAAACGATGTGCTTAAGGCTCTTAGCACCCTAAACATGGAGAAGTCAACAGGACCAGATGAACTACATCCTAAAATCTTGAGACATATTGCCCAATATATCGCGGCCCTACTGACTGTGATATTCAATATGTCACTTGACCAAGGTGTGTTACCTATGGACTGGAAGGACGCAATCGTCACTCCCATACATAAAACAGGTCTACGACAAGTTCCATCAAATTACAGACCCGTAAGCCTCACCAGTGTTGTAATTAAAATACTGGAAAGAATAAACAAACGGACCATAACGGCATTTATGGAAACCAATAACTTGCTGAACATGGCACAACATGGTTTTAGAAAGGGTCTATCCTGTACAACGAACCTTCTTATAGCTAGGGAGTTCTGGATTAATGTGCTAGGCAACGGAAACTCAGTGGACGTTGTCTACATAGATTTTAGTAAGGCTTTTGACAAGGTGCCAACTAATAGACTGCTATTGAAGTTGGAAAACCTTGGTATTTCCGGACCTCTATTAAAATGGATGGAGGATTTCCTAGTAGGTCATAGACAAAAAGTAAGAATAAATTCCAAGTGCTCCATCTGGAGACCAGTACTTAGTGGAGTACCCCAAGGTTCCGTCCTAGGTCCTTTACTTTTTATAATGTTAATGATCTTCCAAGTATAGTACAGTCTCCAATGTTATTATACGCTGACGACTTAAAAATCTGGTGAGTAATAACTGAAGACACAGATGCACGTGCTCTTCAGGTAGACTTAAATAATATGATAAACTGATCTAAAGAGTGGCTGGTGCCTATCAACGCGGCAAAGTGTGTCCACATGCACTTTGGGGATTCAAAAGTTAATAGGTACAACATAGGGGAAGTGCCATTACCCGTAGTCCAGTCTCATAAAGATCTAGGGGTGACAGTGAGTCATGATCTTAAGACGACGGCCCATTGCCGGGAGGTCGCAGCCAAGGGGTTTCGAACCCTCTCGGCTTTAAAAAGGACATTCACTAAGCTAGATACTACCATGTTCACCACAGTATACACATCCTTAGTAAGAACTAAGCTAGAGAACTGCGCTCAGGCTGCAAGCCCCTGTTTAAAAGGTGACTCGGACATACTAGAAAAAGTACAGAGGGCACCTACGCGTGCAATTCCGGAACTCCGGGGTTAATCATACAAAGAGCGGCTTGAAAAACTGGACCTCTTTACTCTGTCCTATCACAGATTAAGGGGAGATCTAATTTTGATGTACAGAATACTGAGAAGTGATTTCGGACCTAACTTATTCTCTCCTTTTCTTTCCACTAAATGGGAACACCTTAGAGGACATAGCAGGCGAGTAGAAAAGCCAAGAACGAACAAAATACCCGTGGCATACAGGTTTTCACACCGAGTCATCAATACTTGGAACCTGCTGTCTCAAGCAGTGGTGTCCGCACCTTCAATTGACTTTTTCAAGAGAAGACTAGACACTCACAGAAGCATACTAGAAAAGGAATAAAATAGGCCGTAGGCCTTCTGTCCTTACTACACAAATCTGAATCTGTATTAACACTACGTTCACCCGTTTCTATGG